CGCAGAAAAGTTATTATCGGTTCAATTAAGTAATTAAGCAATACTAGAGTTACCATTACATGAACAAAGTATTCCAATTAAGAGAAAGAGTGACTACTTAATGTGAAATAAGGTAGGTAAAGACTAAAATGGATTTTTAATGACTTGGACTTGGACTTAGAATTGATATAGTTGGACTTGAGAAAATTGTAAAGTCAAAGACATAAGTTGATTAAAATTCAATAAAATATTTATATTTTATTTATGAATAATATATAAATAACTATAAAGTTTATATATCTAATTTATCGGTTCGATTTGGTTATTTTTGTGGGATTCTTTAGTAAAACCAATACCAAACCAAACAATATCGGTTTTCAAAATTTAAAATCAAACCTAATCGAACTCAACCAAAAATCAATATTTTTAATCAATTTGCTTCAAATTACGATTTGTTTTTTTTTAACCATGACCAACCATACTTCCAGCATCCATATTTGTCCTTAAATTAATAAATCATGATTTGTTATTTGTAGTTGTTTAAGTTTAATAGGCTAATTCATTTTGTTAGAGTTATTAGTTGTTTCTTGTAATATGTTTCTCATCATTGTTGATTTATGATCTTGAGTTGTTTAAATTACCATTGTAATTCTTATCGACTTATTTTCCTTACATGAACTTTTTCGAGTCTGTGGTGGACTCCTTCTCTTTTGCATCCTCGAGGTGAGCCATAGAAGTTCAATTTTTCTCCATCGAGTTAACCTTAAATGTCTTGGAAATAAGGGAAGTTTATCTGAAAACAAATTACAATTTTCAAGTCCCAAAAGCTCAGTAGGGAGTTGTATACAAGATGTATACAACTATATATATCGATATACTGGTCAAAATGAAAAATACAGGGCTAAGGCGAAATACATGTGTTCAGAAGCAAGAAATATATGACAAGTGCTGATACTCACGCTCATATACACTAATAATACACTGATATATATCTGGTGTATACGAAAAAATGGAAATTGGGTTAGTGCCAAAAAATTTGCAGCGAAATTGGATCAAGAAGGGGGCCTAATTTCCTTATCTCTTTTACTCTTCTAATTGGTTTGACTATGCTAGACTAATTTTATTTAACTTTAACTTTAGAATTATTAATTAACTTACTTAGATCCTCCAAGACATGAGTGATTTTCTGTGTTGGTTTACTTTTAATACATTTTTTTGTATTCATTAATTTATATCAAGTATACCGGTCAAATTTTATATCTTTAATAAAGTTAAATCTTTGTTCTCAAAAAGATATGTTCTTTAATGCTTTTCACTTAATCACATTTTTAATCATTTTAAAATTATTTTAAATTAAAGTATTTTTCTGAAATAAAATTTATAAATGTTCGTCAAAAATTTTTCAATTAATTTAAAAATACTTAGTCATTTTCTCAAAAATGTTATTCAACTTTTGTTCTTCAATTTATTCGAAATACTTTCATGCTTAAATTATCAATTTGATTTAACTTATTATTTTTAAAAAATGAGTCAAATAAATTCTGATTAATCTAATTTTATTATAAGTCTATTCACTTGCATTTTAATTCAAATGTTTCATTTTAGGCCAATTTCTCTAAAAAAAAAATGTGTCATTTTTTAAAATTATTTTCTCCAAGTTAATCATATATTGTTAACTTTTTGTTTTATTTATGTTAAGTCCTTTTTCTAGAAAATAGTCAAATATTTAATTTAAGTCGTAGGATAACCGCATGTTAGCGGATATTCAATACTTTAAAAACCTTCTTGAAGTGTAAATAAGAATTCCTTACCTATTTTCTCTGAATTTTTAAAGACTTAATTTGTTAGTCTTTAAATTAAGTTTTTTTAATTTTTTAAAAATTAAATGGCGACTATTTTATTAGTATTTTTTCTCAAATTATTTTATATTTAGAACATCTCAAAATGTGATTTTTCTAGAGATAGTAGAATTACGACATAACTCACACAATTTGGAGGACTTGCAGAAGAGATTTGATAAGGTTAAACGCGTGAGGATGTTTCAATTACACAGGAATATCACAACAATTTCACATGTGACTGACACTGTCTCCACCTACTTCACTAAATTGAAAGAACATTGGGTTGAATCTAATGTGATACTACCTTTTCCCAATTGTGGTTGTCCCAGATATAAGGAGTATCTTGAACATTTGCAACAACATAGTGGATTGAATGATGCTTATGCACAATCTAAGCAACAGATCCTTAAGAACATGACTAAGTCTAGTTAAAATCGATGTAATGACATGATCATGGAAGAGGAGAGTCACATATATGTCAATGACTCGAGGAAACCTACTCTAGGGGATTGTCATGACATTGTGCTTTTTGGAGTGCACGAGGACCAAGATCTTCTAACAATGGAAGGAATGCGAGTTAGGGTCGAGGAATACCACCTAATTGTGGTTATCAGAAACCTAAGAGGAACTGGAATGACCAATGCGATCATTGCAAGATGTATGGCCACACAACGTTGGATTGCTATCAACTCATAGGTTATCTAGAGAATTTTAAACCTCTGGCTAATCTTGCATCATATGCAACAAAGGCACATCAGTGTTTTCCTCAGGGTTCTTACATTGGATATTGACCTCCATACATGTGTCCTAGTCATGCAAATGGTTACTCAGGCATTAGAGGCAGCATATCAACTCATGTAATTGATTATAGTGGGCATCACTTTACCGCTGGACAACCTTTTGGTGGTGAACTTCATATAGGGACCAATTTGGAGCTGGCAAAAAGGGTATTATGCAACAGCCTGAAGTGAGGACCAAGTCCTCATGTGTGTGATCTTAATAGTGTTGAATAATTATTACATACTAGCTTTTATTATTGTCTATCACTTGTACATGTTGCTTGCCACTTGTTAAGTATTATAGTTAATTTCCTGTTATACGTTATGCATATTAATTTTTATTTTGAGTCTAATAATAATATATATTCAGTATATGTCCTGTATTGATCCATAGTTGTATCTTTCTTCGTATTTTTAAACGAGTGTATCAACATATTGGACTTATAATCGTATTAATATATTAACATGTTTAAATTTTAAAAGTAATTGCATACACTAAAAAATGTTTACTTCAAATGCATTAATAATTTAAAAGTAGTAAGTGCCCGTTTAGATTGACTTAAAAAGAGTAGTATTTAAGTAAAAAAAAAACAAATAAAAAGTAAGAGGAAACCTAGTATTTAAGTAAAAAAAAAAAACAAATTAAAAGTAGGAGGAAACCTACTTCAAGTTTTTAACTTTTTAAAAGTCATTTAAAATTATTTTTAACCTTATCAAACATTTTCAAAAACTAAAAAATGACTTTAAAATAGGCTCAACCAACTCTCAAGTCAATCCAAACGAGTTCTAAGTCAAAAAAAATAATAGGAAAAATCCTACTTTTGATTTTTTTTAACTTTTTATAAGTCATTTTTAATTTATTTTAGTTTTGTTATACACTCCCAATAACTAAAAAAAACACTAAACTTTTAAGTCAAATCCAAACAGGTTCCATCTAAATAAATGGTAAAAGAAAAGTAGTTTACTTCAAATGTAGTAACAGATAAATAGTAAGTTTTAAATAAAAGATAGAGAAAATACATTATATATATATATATATATATATATATATATATATATATATATATATCAAATTTGACTAGCAAAATTTACTTTAATTCTTAAACTACACAAGCGTTTAAATATCTCCTTAACATTTTTCAAGTGTTTTAAACACCTTCTAAGGAATGACGTGGGAGGGAGAGGGAGTGTACTCTCCTTGAAGCACGTGAAAAACTAAATGTTTTTAAAGTCCTACATATGGCCTTTTTTTATTGGTCAATATATAAATTGAAAAATGCACAAGTACCCCCTTAAAATATGCCCGAAATCTCAGAGATACTTATATTATACTAAGTTCCTATTACCCCTGAGCTTAATTTATAAGTAATTTTCTATCCCTTTTCGACCTACGTGACACTAGCTTGAAAGAAAAAGTCAACTAGTGTTGGACCCACAAGATAGTGTCACGTAGGCCAAAAAGGGGTAGAAAATTATTAATAATAAGTTCAGAGGGATAATAGGACCTTAGTATAGTATAAGTGTGTCTCTGAAATTTCGGGCATAGGTTGAGGGGTACTTGTTCATTATCCCATATATAATTAATATTTCAAATATTTTTTCTTGATATATTAACTCTCTAAAAATATGTAATTTTTTATTTAGAGGTATATAGAATTAGTGGTTCTCCTTTTAATTTCTTTAATTTTTTTTCTTTTCATTTTGTTTGTATTCCTCAATACACTTTTTTCTCCATTGAAAAAAAAACTATTTTCATTTTACTATTTCTTTACTAAATCGTAAAATTCAATACCAAAGTCATTTTATTGACGTTGATTTTGCTCTATATTATTGATGTCGATTTTGTAAAGTAAACTTTCTTGAATTTTGAGTGACTCATTTTGATTTCTAGATTTATTCAAATATTTCTCATAGAATTTATATTTTTTTATCAACTTTCTTATGCAATGTTCATTTCTTATTAGAGTTGTCAAGAAAAACTTTGACTTTTTAAAAAAATTATTCTCCAAGAGGGTAAATTCGTGGGGTGGGTTCGAAATAGATAATATGAATATTATAGTAAATTTTTTCATTCTAATTATTTAAAAAAATTGTTGAATAGTGAAGAAATAGAAGAAAAATAAGTATTGAAGGTTGAAATGGTGAACAACAAAGAAGAAAGAAAGAGAGTGAATGGAGATATGCATTTATAAATTAATTAATTAATATATTTAATCTTAAAAAGTGTTTAATAAAAAATACTTTCATGACTATGATGTAACGGGTTAAGGGGTATTTAAAACACCCAGTATAATTTAAGTATTAAAGGATTTTTATGTAGTTTCCATGAAGATAGGTAGAAAATTAGAAATGAGTGGATAAACACAAGAATGAACAAGTAAATGAAATGAATAACAATAATATGGTCCGATTGCTGCGGAATCCACTCTCTTATTGTTGCATTTCCCCTGTCAGTTTCGGTGCTTCTCAGAACTGTTCCACTCCGGCCAGTTTCGATGGATCTTCAGAGCTCCATTCGGAGAATCGGCCGTTAAAGCACTTTATCACCTTTAGATTTTTCACCATTTTTGTCGCGGTTGCCTTTTTCCTTTTAACATCTCTCCCTTTTCTCTACGTCTCCTCCTGCAATAGTTCCCATCATCGTCTAGTATGTCCTATCCTTCGCTGTTCAATCTTCTATGCCTTTTTTTGTATTAATTCCATGTTTTTTGTTTAAATAGGGTGATTTGTATGGGGTTCGATCTAATAATAGTTCCATTCTAGGCTTGAAATCGAATCCTTTTAGCTCAAGGGTAAAAGACACTGTTTTTGCACTGAAGGAGCAATTAACCCAGGCAAGTAAGCAAGGTGCTTGGATAGCTGCAAAGTCTATTCCAGAGAGTATGCATTGTTTGTCAATGAGGTTGATGGAAGAACGCATTGCACATTCGAAGAAATACATATATAGATGATGGGAAACCTACTCCATTGGAGTTTGAGGATCCTAAGCTTTATCATTATGCAGCTTTCTCTCATAATGTGCTTGCTGCTTCAGTTGTTATGAACTCAGCTGTAAATAATTCGAAAAATCCATCACAACACTTCTTTCATATTGTGACTGATAAAGTGAACTTTTGGGCTATGCAAGTTATGTTCAAGATGAAAGATTACAGTGGAGCTCACATTGAAGTGAAGGTTGTTGAAGATTTTAAGTTCTTCAACTCCTCTTATGTCCCAGTGCTTCTTATGTCCCAGTGCTTCTTATGTCCCAGTACTTAAGCAACTTGAATTTGCAATGATGCATGCAACCAAGGATAATATGAAATTTAGGAACTCCATTGTAACGACCCGTTTAGTCGTTTTGAGCAACAGACTTCAATTCTGGAAAAACTGGCAGAATGGACGGACCCCACGACGGAACGTCATGGGCACGACAGACCGTCGCAGGGTCTCGTTTCTAAACACTTAGAAATTCTGAAATTTGGGTGCTGAAATCGACTCTCTGAACTCTGTGACGGACACGCAGGACGGACCGTCATAGGCACGACGGACCGTCGTGATCCACTGTTTCAAAACACTTCAACTCTTGAGAATTTGGTACAGGGAATGACTCTCTGAAGTTCGTGACGGAATGGCAGGACGGACCGTCACACGCGTGACGGACCGTCATAGATTGTTCAGTAGAAATTGACTCTCTGACCCTTGCGACGACCTGTAGGACGGACCGTCGCAGGCACGACGACCTGTAGGACGAACCGTCGCAGGCACGACGGCCCGTCACAGGTTGCGCAAATCCCAGGCAGAATCGGATTTCCTTACACGTTTTAAGGGACGTTTTTGGAATATTCTTTCCTTAATTATAGATTTCGTGGGTTTATATTAATAACTCAAATTCTTGGGGGTTAAAAGAGGTAACCCTAAGTTAATTAGCAGGGTATTATTGTCATCTTTTATTCTTAATTATATATTAATTAGGGTAAAAGAAAGAGGGTTGAATAAAGAAAACTAGAAAGAACAAAGAGAAGGAATGAGAAACGAATTGAGAGAGAAACGATCGAGAAGAAGAGGAAAACACCAAGCTTTGAGGATTAACTTACTTGATCGCAATTCTTCGGTGGAGGTAGGTTATGGTTTTCATGCTTTCATAGTAAACTCTTAATAGAGAATGATATGTATTGGTAGTATTGTAAACCCTACTATATGCTTAAATGTATGTTTGCATGAATATGATTATGTGATTGTGATAAGATAATCATGATGAAAATATTGAATCCCAAATCTTGAAAAGAAACTTTAATATACATTATTAATGATGATGCCTTGGTATAGAAGAAGGCTTGATGAATTAAAGTAATGGGATTGATGATGCCTTGGTATAGAAGAAGGCTTGATGAATTAAAGTAATGGGATTGAGGATGCCTTGGTATAGAGAAGGCTTGATGATTTACAAAATGATATTAGTGGATCAGGTGTCACGAACCGACACGTAGAATTAGTGGATCGGAGTGTCACGTACCGACACATAGTATTAGTGGATCGGGTGTCACGAACAGACACGTAGAATTAGGGGATCGGGTGTCACGAACCGACACGTAGAATTAGGGGATCGGGTGTCACGAATCGACACGTAGAATTAGGGGATCGGGTGTCACGAACCGACACGTAGAATTAGGGGATCGGGTGTCACGAACCGACACGTAGAATTAGGGGATCGGGTGTCACGAACCGACACGTAGAATTAGGGGATTGGGTGTCACGAACCGACACGTAGAATTAGGGGATCGGGTGTCACGAACCGACACGTAGATTTAGGGGATCGGGTGTCACGAACCGACACGTAGATTTAGGGGATCGGAGTGTCACGTACCGACACAAGAGGATTAATGAATATGAGGGAGCGGAGTGTCACTTACCGACACAAGAGAAATAAAGATAATGAATCTTGAAAGATGTAAATATACTCAATCTAATGAACATGATTCCCAAATGAGTATGGTATTGAGGCTTGAGTCCTCATGTGTGAACTTGACGGTAATTGTTAACGATATAGTGCTTGTTGTTGCTACATGTTGAGTATCATAGTTGATTTTATGATATTACTTGATATATATCGATTTCTATTTTGAGTTGGCCGATGATATCTACTCAGTACCCGTGCTTTGTACTGACCCCTACTTTTATTGTTTTCTTCGTGTTTAATTGTGGAGTGCAGCAAACGTGCCGTCATCTTCGACTCAACAGTAACTCTAGCCAGTCTTCGTCACATCGGATCATCAGGGTGAGCTAATGCTTCTAGCTTAGACTGGATCTTCTTCTTCAAGTCTTGATGCCTTGAACTTCCGGCATGGACTAGCTTCTTATGTATTTTTAGCTTTTAGAATACTCTTAGTTTAGTCATTTGATTGTAGATGTTCTTGTGGTGATGACTTCCAGGTTTTGGGAATAATAGATGTTGAATATTGCTAGTTATTGAATTGGTTTTATTAATGAGTTTAAGTCTTCCGCATTACTTTCTGTTGCTATTACATTGAAATGTTAAGGTTTAGATCGGTTGGTTCGCTCACATAGGAGGGTAAGTGTGGGTGCCAGTCGCGGCCCGGATTTGGGTCGTGACATCCATCTGTCAATAATGAACCACCTTATGTTCTATTTGCCCGAAATGTATCCCAAGCTGCACAGGATTTTGTTCTTGGACGATGATGTAGTTGTTCAGAGGGATCTGACAGGCCTCTGGAAAATAGATATGGATGGTAAGGTGAATGGAGCTGTAGAGACATGTTTTGGTTCATTCTATCGTTATCGATAATTGATGGATTTCTCACATCCATTGATTAAAAACAAGTTTAACCCCAAAGCATGTGCATGGGCTTTTGGAATGAACTTCTTTGACTTTAATGCTTGGAGGAGGGAGAAGTCCACTGAAGAATACCATTACTTGCAGAACATGGTGAGATGCAGTTAGCTTCTTTGAAGTTTCTAGATTAGTAGATGTCATAGTGTTCTGTATTAAGCAAATATATCTCCCCCATATATGCTTGCAGATGTCTTCTGCTTCTCCATAGAGTGTGTGATATTACACTCTAGGTTTTGTATTGCTAAAAGTCACATTGTCCTATTTCTTAACTGGGTTTAATTAGCTTTTTCCAGGACTACTTTTAACTGCAAGTTTATTCATTCTGACTAATAGAGCTACTAATATTTTGCATATTGAAAATCGGACATTATGGAGATTAGGAACATTGCCTCCAGGTTTGATCACATTTTACTCCACAACAAAGGTACTTGATAAGTCTTGGCATGTACTAGACCCTCACTTTAATCCAAGCGTCAGCATGAATGATATCGGCAATGTCTCTGTGGTCCATTTCAATGGGAATATGAGACCATGGCTCGATAATGCAATTAACAAATTTCGGCCTCTTTGGTCGAAGTATGTTGATAAAGAAATGAGCATGTGCAGGTATGTAATTTCAAGTTTGGTGATGGTTGAACATATGCTTGATGGAGTTAACAAGCTAGTCCTACGAGCATCTCCTGTTTGGCTTGACACTTCTCCCTCACACGTGAAGTAAGTATTCAATTTTAAACTTACTATTATGTCTACCTTAGTTTTAGCATTTTTCTTTTTCTATGTCAATTCAGTGTTTCAGTTTTCAATTGTTCATAATTTTTTACCATTCTTAGCAGCTGGGAAAATTATTTCAACTGATCTCTTAGGTTTGAAGTTTTTGTCAGTGTATCCTGTCAATTTTTAGGGCTTAATATATTTTGAGGATTAAGCAACTCTTATCTGGAAATTTGTGACTAGGTAACATCTTGTCTGGTATTTAATTGTCCTTCATGTATGCTTGCTACCATTTGATTTTTGAATATGGGCCCTTCAAGTTTTCTTTGCATAAAAATATATAGTTTGACATGGCAATTAAAGAAGTGATCTCTACCTTTTCTTTTATTGTCAATCCTTCCCAAGAACATGCCAAGCTTTGTTTTTGAGAAAAGGTCAAATCCAAGCACATGTCAAGAGTTCATTGCATAATAATTTATAAGTCTCATACGGCGATTCAAGAGGTGGTTTCTCCCTTTTCTTTTATTTCAATCCCTCCCAAGCACATTTTCAAGTTTGCATTGCATAATAATTATAGTTTCACATGACAATCGACCTACTTTTCTTTTATCGTTAATCCTTGCCAAGCATATATTTGAGGAAAAAAGATAGGCATGTTGTTTGGTAGACATTCTTTGTAGCCTCTGGTGTTGGCTATCTCATGAACATATAAATTTTGATTGGTGTTGGTTTCATTCTAATCATGTTGTTGAAACTCCCTTTCTCATAACATCATATAACAGTATGGTAACCTTAGCAAATTGTAAGTGTGTTTGATTTATCAAAAAATAAATAATAAATATCTATGTTTTATACTCCCCCCGTTTCAATTAATTTGTCCTACTTTTCTTTGGAATCCGTTTAAGAAAGAATTCATCTTTATCTTTTTAGCAACTCTTTAGTTCCAACTTTCCACATGACAAGTTTATCATCACAAGACTAAAGGGCATGGGTTGGTAATATGTTGATTGGGAGCACATCACGAGTTCACATCCTGCCAGTGACACGAAGCGCGGTATTTGAGATTGGAGTGAGAGGCTCATACTATACCGAGATTCAAACGTGTTGGCCAACTAGGGTTAGGCCAGCTAACTCACGAGGGACGATTCTCTGTTATCCACAAAAGAGTATTGTTAGAGAGGATTACTCTTAAGCACTCCAGTAAATTTTCAGAATTGCTTTAAATGCCCAATAGGCTTGAACTAAACAAGACTAGATAGAACTTGAGCTTTAATTTGCACCCGAACTTGCAGGAGTCAATGCAACAAACCTTTACACTTTAGGATCACTTAGTATAAACATGCATATGCTGATGTGATGGTCTAGTTGAGTAATGAAGTTGTCAATTTAGGGATTCAAGTGTTTCCTCGTCACACTTTGGTGCAGGTAGAATAAATTCATATTACCTTTTTCTCAGGCTTCAGTTGTCTGGCAATGCTGCTACATTAGATTAGCATAGATATGAGCTATATTTTCTCGACTTCATTGGTAATTTGAGATTTTGTAGAATTAATTGATAAGTAGGGTTCTCATATCAGATATACTGGTTCAGAAGAATTTCTGGTGAATGAAGTTTGCACTGCAGAAATTAGATGAATAATAACTAGAATTGGCTGTGTAGTCCAAACATGGAATGGAAGGCCAACTTTGCATGGTGCCTATAAATTTTTGTTTTGTTCCTTATCCATCTTATATTCTTGTACTCTAAGGACGCACAATGATTTTCTTGTATTAAAAAACTACCACCCCAACCTGAAGAATAATTGCAAGATCAATTTCGATTTTGGGAGTGTGAATCTTGAGCAAACGCTTGCTTGCCTATGCTAGAAAAAGTATAATTTTCATGATAGCAGTATGCATGGTCTTTTCTTTCAAAAATATATAATTACTCCTAGTAATTATATATTTTTGAATGGAAGGCCCATGTGTATTTCATTCTTGAAACTTTTTCTCATAGGTAATGAACAATTCCTTTTACTGCCTTTTATGTAATCATCATCAAGATTCTCCTTCCAAATTGCACTGAATCTGGGATGCAAGTTTTTACAGGTTGGTTGAATTCAAAATGCTAAGATAAGTGTAGACATTAAAAGCAATTCTCCACCTATTGATGTCAGATAACTTAAGGCTCTGCACATCACACCCTTCTTCAAACTTTATGGGGGAAAGGGATGACCAACAATTGCAGAATTTGTTGTGTCCAGATAAATTGGTAAACATGACTGGGTTAGATAAGTTAGGCTACTTCATTCAGGTTGATTATAGACATTCATCTATCTGATATCTACATGTGAATCTCCTTGTTAACTGATATAGCAGAATCAAATTCCTTGGTTTTTGTGGTCCTAAAGAAACTAAAGTGATGTGTGTTATGTGCCATGCTAATGAAGCAACTCATTAGTACAGTCACCCAAATAATTGTCTGCCCTGGCACAACTTGACGCCGCTACTTACAATTAGCCCCAGGGCTTTGGTCTAGCGTAAGAGTGCAGTGTGTTGTGTGTGTTAGATTAAGGATGACAATTGGACAGGATGGGTTAAATTTGAGGCTGTCAAAACGGGTCAAGACCCATTCCAACCAAGCAAAAAATTTGCTTGGACTAAAATGGGTTGGGTCAAAATGGGTCAGGTAATGAGTCATAATCCGACCCGTCCAATTCTTACTATGTTTTAATTGTATTATTTGTTCTTTTAAAACCTGTAAGTACCTAATAAGAAAAGTTTCTTTATTATGTCTATATATGACCCAAAAAAATTAGTTAAAATATTTTGTCAAGATTTCTCATGACTTAATTTGGTGTACATATGAAATGGGTTGATGTTGTTGCTTACAGATAAAGAAAACATACAATAGAAGAAGAAAAAAATCATAACTTTATTAACCTAAACGAAGAGATATTTAAATAGAAGAAAATTCTAACAATCTGCATTATTAGTTCAAAAATGGAATCTTTTTAATAACTAGGAACTAAGTCTACCAACAACTACAAGCCTAAAGAGTAGGAACTCACAACTGAAAACTAAAACAGAAAAATTCCATCTTCTGAAAACAAAAAACATCATCAACAGCTATTCATCATGCCAACTCAACCTCAATTAAAAGCTCATGAGGCAGCTTTCAACACTCCTCGTTGCATCAAGAGCTGCAAATTCCAAGTTCTTTTCTCAAGAACTCAAATTTGCTTGCTGGAAGAGCTTTTGTAAAAATATCAGCCAGCTGCTCTTTAGCTCTAGATTCACTAAACCATCCTTCTGCACTTCTCTAAGAAAATGTAGCTTCACATCGAAATGCTTTGTCTCTATGAAAAACTAGATTGTGAGAAATAGCAATGGCAGCTTGATTGTCCACAAATATCTCAGTGCTTTCCTTCATCTCGAACCTAAGATCGCAAAAGATTTTCTTTATCCATAAACCTTGATTCACTTCAGCTGTAGCAGCAATGAGTTCTACCTCTGCAGTTGATTGAGAAACAAACTCATGTTTTTTAACACAAAGAAAAGCATCCAGCGCCAACAGATGCCTGAAGTACTTTTATCTTCAGCAGAACCACCTCAATCACTGTCAGAAAAACCTTGAAGCTTGAAATCCTAGCACTTGCTAAATTTGACTCCATAGTCCATTGTGCCTTTGACATATTTGAGTACTCTTTTTGCAACTTGCATATGCAATTCACTAGGAGCATTCAAGAAGCGAGATAGTACACTTACAACATACGGCCTTGTTGCTGTAAGATACATCAAACAGCCTATCAAGCTTCTGTAGCTTCCTTTTTTGTACTCATTCAACACCATCGTCCTTCATCAGCTTCTACTTTTGAGCGTACTCATACTTTTGCGACCCTTCACTCTAAATTTCCTTATAATTTCTTTTGCATACTTCTTCTGTCAAATGAATATTTCATCTTGGATTTGTTTAACCTCCATTCCAAGAAAGAAAGTCATCTCTCCGAGATCCGTCATTTCAAAGACTTTCATCATCTCCTTTTTCAACTCTTCTATGAGCACAACATTACTCCTCTTACTAAAAGATCATCAACATACAAAGAAATTATAATGATGTCAGTGTTAAAAATGCTTTATGTAAAGAGTTGAAGCACTTAGGCTTTTTTCAAAACCTAAGTAAGAAAGATGATCATCGATTCTACTATACCAAACCCTTGGAACTTGCTTTAATTTGTAGAGGGCCTTTTTGAGCAAGTAGACTTTATCTTCTTGTCCTTCTGCAACAAAGTTGCTCAACATAGATTTCTTCTTGTTTTTTAACATTTAGTTGGTACATTTCCCAAACCTTATGTCCTGCAATTGCCAAAAGAAGCCTGATTGTGTCAAGTCTTGCGATGGTACAAATGTTTTAGAAAAATCTACACAGAAAATCACAACATAACCCTTCACCACTAGCCTAGCTTTGTGTTTGTTCGTTGAACCATTTGTATTTAGCTTAGTTCTGTAAACCCATTTAACACCAATAACCTTTTTGGTCTCGAGGTTTTTCTACCAGCTTCCATGTGTCATTTTTGTCGATCGTGCTTAGCTCCTCCTACATTGCAACTATCCATTTCTTGTCTCTTTCAGCTTTTGCATATTCAACACGTTCAAATACGGCTACATTGTATCTTTGATTGAAATGTGTAAGTGATCTGGTTCCCCAAACTAGAGGATCATCAACTCGTTCCTCAAAATTGTGCAACTCATTAGCTTCTTTTTCTTGTTTTTCTAGCTTACCCAATTTTAAGTGTTTGTGGTTGGAAAGTTCTATAAGCTTTTCTGGCAAGCTATAGCTAATGAAAATTCCAAATTTTGCCTTCTTTCAAGTTTTTATCCCTTTTCGGCTGAGGTATGTGAGGAAAATATACAACCAAAAATCTTGAGATTCTTTAGTAAAGGTTTATACCCATGCCAAGCTTCAAAAGGTTTTTGTGACTATTCACTACTTTTCTGGGCAGCCTATTCAACAAAAATACAGCAACATTGATTGCCTCTGCCCGAAACTTTTTGGAAAGCTCTTTCTTGTGCAACATACACCTTGACATCTCCATGATGGCCCTATTCTTCCTTTCACTTACCCCATTTTGATGAGGAGTATATGGAGTAGTAAGTTGATGCTCTATTCCAGCAACTTCACAAAAGTTTTGAACTGGTCAAAGTGTACTCAGTTCCATTATCTGATCTGAGCACTTGCAGTTTGCAACCGCTTTGATTTTCTACCTAGGCTTTGAATTTCCAAAAAAAATCAGCAACCTCCGATTTGAATCTTATGAAGTATATCCAACACATCCTTGTTAGATCGTCAATTGAAATTATGTACTACCTGCATCGTTTCAATGATGTTCTTTGGGAGCCTCCAAGATCTGTATGAATCATCAGCAATTTTTTAGTCATTCTCCAAGGTGATTTTGGGAATGACAATCTTGTGTGCTTACCAAATTGACATGCCTCACAACTTAGAAGTTTATCTTCAAGTGAAGGTAAACCTTTTGCCAACCTTTTTCTCTGCATATACAAAATCGCCCTGTGATAGAAGTGACCCAACTATTTGTGCCATGTTTCTGCAACAGTGGACTTACTTGGAAAAGCTATTTGTTCTTCCTCCATTGGATTCAACGTAAAGCTTTTATACTGCATTTTAATTCTAAACGGTTTCTGGCCACTTGGATCAATGATCAAGAATGCCTTAACTTCAAAAAAATAATTTGAATCTATTTTCAAGCAACTGTCCAACACTTAATAAATTCTTAGCAAGTTGGGGAACAAACAAAACTTCAAAAATAAGTTTTGTACATGTATAACTCTCAATAACTAGAGTCCCCTCCCCTTTTGCAGGAAGGTATTCTCCATTTCCAATCCTGACTCTTGATGTTGTTGTTCTATCAAGCCTTTTGAAAAGTGTTTCATCACTAGTCATGTGGTTTGTACAACCACTATCAATTAGCCAACAATCACTTAAAATACTAGATGCAAAACATGATTGAACAAAGAATTGTTCTTCCTCATGCTGATTTGTAACTTGAGCTTCTCCTTGTTGCAGCTATCCTTTTTCCTTGCAAATGATCTTAGCATGCCCAAGTTCTTGACATTTCTAGCATCTCATATTCGACTTTCTCCATCATTTGAAGTGAGGATGATTCTTCCTTCCGCATTATTGACACGAAGGAAATTTGTCTCCTTTGTTACTACCCGAATTGAGGCTGCTTCCATTGCCAACGGGGAACCTGATTATTTTCAACATAGTTCTCCTTCCCTGTTTTTTTGTATTTGCTTCCCGAATAGTTCTGCAACTTGGCCTGAAGTGCACCTTCTATCCTTCTTGTCTCATTAACCTTCTTTTGTTCTTGTGCCTGCAATGCATTTAGCAATTCTGCCAAAGTGATCAGTGACAGATCCTTGGTATTTTTTAAGGAAGCAATGGTTAGTTCAAACTTTTCAGGTAATGTGACAAGAATTTTCTCAACAACTCTGATATCAGGAAGCTTATTGCCCAACATTCTTACCTTGTTCACAATGCTAAGAAGCCTATCTGAGTATTCTTTGGCAGTTTCAGAATCTTTCGTTCTTTGTACTTAATTTCTCTAATAAGATTCATAGTTTTCATACCTTTGATTTGCTCATCTCCTTGTTATTCTTCTTTTAGAAAATCCCAAATTGCTTTTGCCGATTCCAATGTCATGATTCTGGAAAAAAATGTAGGCGAAAGTGCAGCAGATAAGCAAGAGTTCGCCTTGGATTTCTTGTCTTCCTTTCCTTGTGAAACTTGATTTGCGCCATTGTTGGATTGCCTGATAATGCAGGAATTTCATAATCATCCTCTACTGCTTCCTAAAGATCACATGTCTCCATGTGAGTTTGCATCTTGATAGCCCATACCTGGTAGTTATCTCCATCAAACACGGGTGGAGAAATAGCATAAGAATCAATTGTTCTCGGGGCAACAAATAGGGACAGACTTTGTTGATGGTTTACTCAGACTACACTCACAAGTCGCTCATGGGTCTCTTAAGAAGAGAGCTCTGATACCAATTTGAAAACATATGATGAAGAAGAAAAAGAGCATACTTTTATCAAGCAGAAAGAAGAGATATTTAAATAGAAGGAAATCCAAACAATCTGCAGGCAGTAGTTCAAAAATAGGATCTTCCTAATAATTAGGAACTAAGTCTACCAACATCCACATGCTAGGAAATTGATAATTGAAAACTAAAACAGACAAAAAAAAAAGAGAACAGAAATACAATGCACATTTATGGGTTTATAACAATGAACATGAGTGTGTTGTGTTTGCTAGTGACACTGTTTTATGTTATGAACGACCACTCAAAAGGTACTACTCCATATGTTCCACTTTATAAGACTCACTTTCTTTTTTAATTCGTCCCAAAAAGAATTGACCACAATTCTATATTTAGTACTTGCCAAATTGATGTTGTTTGATCCGACACGAAGTTTAAGAAACAAAAGCTTTTGAATCTTGTGGTCTAAAGTAAGTTATAGATGTTTGTGTGACTATAAATCATTTTATTAAGGGTAAAATAGATATTTTAAAGTTAAGTTATTACTATATATAGAAATTTGGATTTAGTAAAAAAAAATGAGTCATAATGTCTCAAAAATTGGGATTGAGGGAGTAACAATTTGACTTTAAACGTTCATTTTAACTTCAATAAAATGATTTATAGTCACCTACACATCTATGACTTGTTTTAGACCATAAGTCTTAAAAAGTCTTATCTTTCTTCTTAAATATTGTGTCAAACTAAACTACACCATATAAATTGGGACAGAAGGAGTACTTCTAAAAATAGACAAACCTTCCTCTGAAATTCTGAGAAGTGGGTATCTGTTCCTATGAACACATTCATTTACTTTGTCAATGAAAGATATATTCTAACTGCACATTAATGAGGTTATAACACTGGACTGAGTGTGTCGTGTCTGCTAATGACATTGTTTTATGTTATGAAGTACCACTCAAAAGGTACTACTATTTCAAAATATGCAAGGAATAGACAAACCTCCCTCTGAAATTCTGGTAAATGATCATTCCTATGAATCCAACCTTTACTTTGTTCATTTGCAAAACGAGAATGGCTCAAACTCAGCAGAGACAAGTTATTACCTTCCCATCTGGCTAAATCTTGATTTGCATAGGTCCATATAACTGTGTTGGCAGGAGGTAGTTGACGTACCAACAAGATGGTGAGGATATAACCCTTGTAAAAGGATAGAAATGTGATTATGGCTTGTGTGGCAAGCAATTGGGCTGTGATGTCTGCATTATACACTGCCGTTCACCAAGGACCAGGATGCAATTTCCCAACAGAAGATCCTTTATGCTATTGGATCTACTTGTAACTAGGATCCTCTGTGGTTCCATAGACAGTTACTTTTGCTTGTTTGGGTCTCTTCTCTTGATTTTTTGGATCTCTTCATGTTCTGTTTTGAAGTGTTCTTGAGATCCCATGCCAGATTCTTAATTGGTGTTGTAATATTTTTTAAAAAAATTAAATTTGTCCCGCTATGGAATTCATCATGTAATACAAAATTTAGTGAAGATGGCCATTGAAAGTTGAAACAAATCAGGCCAAGTGAATTGACTTTTGAAAGAAAATAAATAACTTTGATGACCTATTACCTCAAGTTGAATGACCATCTAAGCAATCCAAACTCAGACATTAACTTTGCTAGAGTTGAAAAAACCAGTAAGTAGCTTTCTATTGAATTATAATCATCAGTCTCTTGCATGTAAGCAAGACTCTTATATTCATTTTTCATTAATAGATGTGTCATATTAACATTATAACTCTGATCCCTTTTAAAAATGAAAAACAAGACATTGTCGTGCATTCCAAGTATTCCATTTACACAATAATCTAGTTTTAAAATTAGTTGCTCAATCACTCTTTTATTTGAAGATAAGCTTAGAAAAGTCATAAATTCATGGTATCAATCTCAACATGTATTGATTTGGATACGGGAATCTCTCATGGTATCAATCCTTATTATTGCTTCATCCATACTACATTTCATTTGAGGTGTAGAATTGGACGCGATCAATTTACGACCCTACGTTTTTTCTTATGTGCACAGCATGATGTAATTAAAACTTGTGGTAGCAGTCGTTTAAATAAGAAAGATGATACTTAATAACCACCCAAAATTCAAACTCGAACTTTTAAAACGAAATAGTTTAGCTTAAGAAAATCAAATGAAATAGTTTAGCTTAAGAAAATCTAACGTAATTCACGTGGTTATACTCTCAAAAGGAGGAGAATGTAAGTAACAAACATTTCACAGCTGTACATATGGTTAAGCGCAGAAAAAACTAAAGGGGGGTCAGCAAGAGACCAAAAATAATTTAACAAATACAACGTGGCTTACAAAATGAGTGGATAATCAATCTCTTCCTAGGGGATAAGATAACAATATGCTACAGAACAGAAGCTACTTAAAACTCAATTTCTATCCAACCTCTACACCAATTAACGGCAAAAATTAGGGAAAGGATAAATGAACAAGTATGCAGTAAGAGCTCTTATGAAAAACAGCTCAAGACAAAACTCTCTACCTGCGGACATCCAACCATTTCAAATCAAAAAAGAATTACTAAATTAGCTTCACTTATTTGCCAAAAACAGCTTCTCAAGCTGTAGCAGAAATCCGTGGTGTCATATTCTTGGCAGTTCCATTTGCCATACCACCACCACGATTCATTCGCCAGTTGTTGCCTCCCATGTTGTCACTTCGCTGAAAGCCATCACCACCTCCACGATTGGATGACCCTCCGCGATTGCCACCTCTGTTGTTGAACTCGCTTCTTCCATTGAAATCACCACGATTATAGCCCCTCCCACTGCCTCCATAGTTACCTCGCCCACGTACTCCATCATTTCTGACTCCATTACCCCTTCCAGATGGATATCTACCCCTAGTGTTACCTGAAACAGAGGGAAGATAATTCATTTCAACTATCGACATACATGTCTTCAACGAATTATCACAAGATACAAAGCAGTTCTAGGGATAAAATCAATACAAAAATTATTGGAACATAGGTGCCTACAAAAATTCATGAAAAAACCACAAATCTAGTCTATTTTAAGAGACTTGTCAGGAAGGAGAAGTACCAAGTTATGCAACATGCTATATCTGTCTTGCTTACAATTTAAAAATATCAGCAATACTTGCCAGTTATTAAACGCAAAATTTTCAAGCAATCTTCTTGTATATTCTAACTAATTGAGATAGGGCATAACCCCACTAAGATTGATGGATTCAAACCTCCTGTTACTCTTCGTGAACATAATACTATCTCAAGGTACATTCAATTTACAATTTCAGTATATTGATATATAGAATGCTTACCCAGCAAGTGGAACGTCACTCTATTTACCTATACGAGAAAAGAAACACTAGAAATATACTCTCCACAGCCATGTATAATTGATATCTTCTTAGTTGGGGAAGGGGGCAAATAGTGGTGCATATAAACCCTGCCTAACAAATGGCACATATTTACCCCTTCCGTTGATGGACTAAACTAGAAAAATCCAAATGTGAGTTAACAAAACAACATCACTCATTTTTTACCAATTCCCACTCACCCAGACCTGACCCAACTAAAAAAAACAATAACTTTTTTTTGTAACTGCAAAAAAAAAAAAAAAATTTACCCAGATCCTATCCAAGCCCATTTTATGTCCGAGTAGAAGAGGGATTTGAGTTTTTTTTTCCATGAATGTGTGAGGTAATTCTTTCAAGTCACGTGAAATTTTTTTAAATTAAAAGATCATTTTAAAGATCTTTTTAAAATTTCAGTAAATATAGGCCTGTTAATGAAAAAGCTAAATGAGCACCATTATTTGTTAGACAACAGGATATATTATGCACCGCCTATCTAACAAAGGATATATCTGCTCTAAGTAACATAGTTGAGGGGTATATTTGCCCATTTTCACTTGATAAATTTTTTTTCAATTTCATTGATGTCATCATTATTCATTACTTCCATTGGAAAGTAAATAAACTTGCCTCGAGAACTGGTGGACTTCTTCTCTTCAACGGCAGCTTGGCGTCCACCAATTAAAATTGGAGAAGCCTGATACGTAGAGACAAAAAAAGTAATCAGACATGCCAAAAAACCTGAAACGATTCAGAAAAAAGAAGCATCACACAGCAAAGGTATATACCTGTATAAGTGCTGCAATTTTAATAGAAAATTACTATTTTGATCGAGTTCAGGTATTTGGTTGAAACGTTGTTTAGCAAGATAATGGGACTTCAAACCGAACAGGTAGAGATGTCAATCAGGCTATTCAGTCTACTTTCAACTTAGCAATGCAAAATTAGCAACAACTCTTTAGCAGTCCCAACTTCCATCAGATACACATACATCCCCTCCAATAGAGTTAATATAATACTGGAGCTGATCACATGGTCTGTTGCAACTATATTCTACAATAAATTTAGCTTTTCTATTAGATGGACCCATAAACAGTTGGTAAGAGACTAAGAGCCTTTTATAGCTTTCATTGGCCAGCCTTTTGAACAGTCAAGTGCTTTTAAACGGCGCTTATTTTAGAGGATAAAGAGGTTTGGCCCAGCTTTTGGTGACGAAATAGAACATTAAATTTATTGGCAGAACCAACACTACTTCAAAAACGATGGACTCCTTTGGTTTTGTCAATGAATTTTTAAAAAATCTTTTTTTAAAGAACACAGACGGTACACCAATGGTTTTTAAAAATGATTATGATTGTTCTTCATAGTTTATAAAAAACCGATGATACACCAATGGTTTTTTATTTTATTTAATGACAACCGATGCATGTCCATTGGTTTTTATTTTTTAACATGTAAAACTGCACTTCATGAGTGTAAATATAAACAAGAGTACTTCATCAAAGAACATGAGTGGTCTAATAGTAGAATTATGCATGAGCATAAATATAAGCAAACCAAGTTGCAACATTTCTTTTCTTTTATAATTTATATATTTTCTGAAAACTGATGGAGTCGTAAGTTCTCAACATGTTTTTAGTACCTCAAGTGGTTAACAATTTTTTTATTATCTGTTAATGTTAACTCTTTATTCTCTAAAATGAGTTTTCGAATAGAAGCAACAATGATTTTTCAGCTCATGACAAATTAATTAGTACTCATATCAAGAATATTCACATCAAAAGTTCATATTAACCAAACTAATTAGTATTCCCTTTGTCCCAAATTTGTGGCCCCTTTTCCTATTGTATCTGTCCTAAAAAGAATGTCACCTTTCTATAATTAGAAACAACTTAATGTTAAGATTTCTCTTTACATTTAATGAAATGATTTGTGGTGATGTCCAAGGTTTGATTTGGATTAGTACCAGCAAAATGAGCCCACATTTTGGTGACCCGCCCATATTTTAATGGGTTCGGTGAGTGATTTTTTTCACATGGGTAAAATATGGGTTGATAACCATATTTGACCCATAAAAATTTATTCACTCAAAATTCATGATATCACTAAAAATAGTGTAACTTCTCTTCTTTTTTATGTTATTCTATAGAACCAACTATTCTTCTTTATAATTGAAAAGGTGAAGTCTTTGACCCTCAAAAATATCTAATTCAAATGTACATTTCTTTTTTGTAATTATAATTACATTCTATATATTTAAATATTGCGGGGTAAAATATGAATTAGCCAAATGGGTTAAGATTCTAACTTTTTATTCACTCAAAATTCATGATATCACTAAAAATAGTGTAACTTCTCTTCCTTTTTATGTAATTCTATAGAACTAACTGTTTTTCTTTATAATTGAAAAAGTGAAATCTTTGACCCTCAAAAATAACTAACTCAAAAGTACATTTCTTTTGTTAATTATAATTACATTTAATTTATTTATTTAATTCTATATTAGATAGTTAATAATAGCGTAAAATAAGCAGATCATATATTTTACTATTGACATTGCTTAAAGTGCATTAAGCATGTTTTAGTCCTGAAATGCAAATATTCATTTACTTTGAAATTAAAAATATTTTCATCTTGTTATTACATAAATTTATTTTATATTGAAAAGTTAAAGGATTTTTTTTTATGATACAATGAAATTAAATAAAGCATGTTCAACATTTTTCGTCTAAAAAAAGACTAAAATATCTTCTCCATATTGAATTCGTGGAATTCTTAAGTAAAGTACTATTTAATCCGACTTCTTTTTGTAGTTTAGAAGTTCTTTATGGTTAAGATTTGTTTCTCTACTTATTTGGTAGGGTATATTCCATTAAGAAAAATTCATGAGCTGTCAAACTAAATTAGAAACTATAAATTATAATATGCAAGCATTATTTTATTTAATCAAATATTAATCTTTTGATAAAATTCAAGTAATATTTATCTTTTAGATGATGCTCATATCTTAATAAAATATAACACTAATTTATTGACAGAACTAAATGTACCCATTTTTGTGACACCTTGCTAACTGATAAGTAGGTGACAACTTAAGTGCATCTTTTTCCACAATTTGATTCTTCAAAAACATTTTAAAAAATTATCCAGACTCAAACTACCAACAAGAGTACTTCCTTCCCAAACGATTTAGCCAAGCACAAAATGTTGCACTCAGCTTTTTAGAAACAAATTGACAGCTAGATAAAACTAGCTAAATTTGACAATTTGGTACGTATACAACTAGAGAAATGCAATAAAATGAAAAAGATTTAAGTATCTGTAATGACCTAACACCACACATGAACAGAGAGATGCATAAAGACAACAGGAATTACAACATTCCTAGCTATAGGCAGCTGACAGCCATCGGCAGTACCAATGTGCACAACATCTTATAACACACACGGAAACACTTAAAGCAATGTACCGATGTGCACAACAACTTAAAACATACACGGAAACACTTAAAGCAATGAAAATACCATCCAAGTAGCCACTTCTTTTCTCAGAAACTACAACCCATAAAGGAAAACATTATGCGGAGAATCACATGAAAGTTACTCATAACAAATCAGGGAAAGTACCTCAATTGCTTTTTGCACAGCAGTTTCCACCTCAAATTCCACAAAGCCAAAACAAAATCCCTGTTGCTGTCATCCACCAACAATAACTTATTATAAAAATACGCAGAAACAAGTATAAACTGATAAATGTATCGCCCAAAAAGCCAAAATATTAGTGCAAGAACACATACTCTGTTACTTCGGACTTGAATGCCTCCATTCTTTATAGGTCCAAACTTCTTGAACTCGTCTTCTAGCATGGCGGTGGTGGCACTCATAGGTAGACCTTTGATGTAGATGGAGTGACCATCAGCTGTTGGATGCAGTTAGAGCAAGGATATCAATAAGAATAAATACGATGAAGCAAATCAACAGGCAAAAATTTTAAAACTACTATGGAGCAGTGCCATGCCTTCTCCCTCTTGGTTGTTCACATTATCAACAAAGTCAGAGCTTAAAGCAGGGCTATCAGCTGGTGCTGGTGCAAGAAGTTGTCTAACATGCTCAACATTCTTAGGTACGATCTTCCTAGGAGCAGGCGCTGGAGGAGGGGAGAAAGTTGCAGCACTTTCCTTTAGATGCATGACCTGAAAATTACATTGCAAACTGTTCAACTAAAAGCTTCCAAAGATGCCCTTCCTAAAATTGTCACCACCAAAGACAAAAACTGACTCTGCAAATTATATGAGTTGTGCTCAACAAACACTAGCACAAAAATCTTAAAGCGACACACCTAAATGTTAATCTTCGACATTTACACAACCAAATGAAAATTGGAAATTAACCCTTAAAAGGTAAAACTAAGATGAAATGCGTCTAAATCTTCTTTTCCCATGGTGACTCACAATTGAAGCATAAGACTTCTTTGGAACTTCTTCAATTATGATGTTAGTTTCAGCTACCATTGTCGAGTCACCTTGCACTTCATCAACAACCTCAGCCACTGGCACTTCCTCTACCATATCAGGCACATTATCATTCTGGGGAGGATTGTAAACTTCTCCCCCATTAGCTTCCTCAGCAGATGGTGTGCTCTGATCAGAAATGTGATTCTCCTGAGCTGGAGAGGGATCTACAACAACTGCAAACAAATAAGTCAGTGCTCAGCTGCTAATAAGGTCATTATAAAAACAAAAATTTAATCAATTGTTCAATTACTTTGCTCTGGAGTAACAGGAGCCAACACATCAGTTTCTGGAACTTGTACAGCATCTTGTTGATTGGCAATCTCCACATATCGAAACATATCATTCAAAACAAAGTACCCTCGGTCTTGCGGAGCCAGGAAGAAAGTTTGAGAGAAATTTCGGATCAAGTTGTCTTTCCCAGTCAAATATCCAGTAACAAGGACATGCACTCCCCCATTGAAGGACTCTTGGGAATCCACAGACTTAATCTCTGCTCTGAAGTCCGCATAGTTAAGTGACAGTATCTTATCATTGATAGCCTAAACGGTGGCCATTAAACAATACAAAATGTGAGACTTTAGTACTGCCAGCTTGACGCTTAACAAGGAAAAACAAGATACGGTAGAAGAGCAAACTGCTTTAATTAATTACTAAAAGCAAGGTCACTAGGTTAAACCATTTTTGAGCTCTTGGAAAAAGCAATAGATCAGCACTCCATTAAATTTTCAAAACCCCAAAAAACATGCACCAGCTGGCCCTCTGGATTTCTTGCTAACCAAAAAAAGTTATTAATAAAGCCCGGACACCGAAGACAAGGTGTAAAACCATTGAAGTATGAAACCAAAAAAAAAAAAAGCAACAAGATCATGCATCACAACTGCTTTGTTTCTGTCTTCATTGCAGTATTTTCCTAGGACAAGCGGAAATAATAACACAAGTTGCAAATACAGTGAACCATGCAAAGTTCAGCCTTAATTAGGACACGATATCTTATTTTCAAAATATCTATATATAATGTCCAAATTCCAACCGTGTATAAAGAATATAGCAAGTTAGACATTTTATAACTAAAGTTCTAAAAATATTTCGAAAATATATGAAGGCCTGTGGCAAAGACAAAAAGTAAGCACGGCAATGGGATGGGCCGGTTGCAGGGCAAATTCTCCTAAACCGCTAAGATCTCAACCCGCCCCGCATCGCATGATTTGTTGTTTTCAATCCACCCCACCCTGCATAAACCCACCCCACATAATTTGTAAAAAGACGTTTCAATTATTAAGCGGATAAGTTTTTAACTTTAGAATTTTGAATTTTGTTAACTGTTAACACTACATTAGCATGTTAGCGTAGCATTAAAATTCAATTTTGCCTTTATAATCTCTTCTTTTAAGCATAAAAATAACTTTTTTTGGTAACTTTGACTTAGTTACATTTGATGTATTAAACAAAATCCCTTTTTTCTTCTTTCTAGTTTTTCGTCCATTCAGAAAAATCATAAAAATTCAATCAGTTTCATTTTTTATGACAAATGTAAAAACATGTAAAAAGCTAATACCGAATTCATGTAAACAGAAAATTAAAAGATTGTTTAGCACTAACCCACAACAGCCCCGCCCAACATAAATTTCGAAAAAATATATTTAAACCCGCCACACTCCACAACCGCAAAAGTTCCAACCCGCCACGCATAGCATGATCTGTTGTTTTCAACCCGCCCCGCTCCGCATAAGCCCGCCCCACATAATTTTTAAAAAAACGTTTCAATTAATAAGCAGATAAGTTTTTAACTTAAAATTTTGAATTTTGTGAACTGTTAACACCAAATTAACATGTTAGAATAAGCATTAAAATGCAATTTTGCCTTTATTGGAACAAATAGATCTCCCAAATAAAAAAAAAATGTCATCACTAACAAAAGACCTCCCAAATACAAAAAAAATGTCATACCAAACGAAAATAAAGGAGTATAGCTAAGACACAAAGCCTGCAAGTTCCTGAAAGCGGACAAAAGAAGAACACATGGTGGAAAGAACAGTTCAGGGCTTACTTGCATTGTGGACGTAATGCTCATGGAGCCATCATCTTCAGGGCGACCAAGCTTGCTAATATCCTGATAAAACCTAAATACCAGCCCTGGTGAATGGTGAAGTATATGATAATACTGCTGCACAAATGCATTTCCCACCTACAATCGCACAAAATCAACTCACTCAGTATCCATCTATACCGCGAAAAAGTAGGCAAAAAAATAAAAACAAAACAACTAAAACTAAAACTACGGTTAGAGAAAAAAAATGTAGATAATGATATTAACACGCACAACTTGAGCAGACACAGGTGGTTGAGCCGCCGCCATCGCCGATCGATCTCAAGTCACAAACTATAAAATAACAAAAAGTTAACAAATCAGGGAAAATATCCATAAAACCCGAGAGCCATCTCTCTAAACACCATACATCAGCACCAGTATTCAAAAAAAATAACACGTAAACTGAAAAAATAAACCAGAAAAAAGAAGCATTAGAGTGATCTAAAGTACCAGGAGCAATAAAATAGGAGAGAAAGAAAGAGAGAGAAATATGCTCTTTCCCTCTAAGCTTCTTCTCCTTTAATCAACTCTCTCAGATACACAAAGTGACGCACATAAACGTACACACACACTCTCGCCTATGGAGATTTGTGTGTATTTTAGGGTTTTGGTAGGTAGCGAGTGGTGGATCGTGAAGAAGCGCGACTATTGAGAGAGATTGAAAGAGGGTTTTACGGAATTCAACTTTAAATTTTAAGAATAATTGTTATTCTTTTTTATTTTTATTTTATTTTAGATTTTAGATTTTGTAATTATTGTGATTGGAGTACTAGTACTTTTTGAGTCTCTTAAATTTAGGGTGTGCATTCGGTTTGATTTTATAATATTTAATTTAGATTTTTTTTAATTTTTGGAAGGTGTAATTCAATTCGAATTAAAATAAATTTGATTTGACTTGATTTTTTCTTTTTGATCTGAATTATTTCAATTCGGTTAATCAGTTATGTCAATAATTAGAAACATAACAAAGTTATATTTGCAATTTTAAAAAAATGTTTATATATATATCAATTTTCATTTTTCTAAATTCGAAACCAAAACACAAAACCAAACAAAGTAAATTATAAATCTAAAATTAAATCAAAAATCCAAAAGAACAATCCAAATAAGTATTTGGTTTGATTTTTCGATTTAATCCAAGTAGTGCATACCCCTACTTAATTATCACTTTTTCATTTCTATAGTTGGTTTTATCAAGAGAAAAAATGACACAAATTATTCCTTAACTATAGGAGTAGGTCTAAAATGGTCTCTTAACTATACACTTAATGGATTTAGTCATTTAACTATTCAAAAACTTATCGGCTTTGATCCTTAAATATACACTTACCGGTCAGAGTCCCTTAACAATAGACTTACCGATTTTATTCCTTTAAATTTTCAAAAACTTATCAAGTTTGGTCTTTGTCCATTTTTCTAAATACAAATAGCTTAGATTTATATTAACGGAATCCATGCCTCGAGAAATTAACACTCTGTTTGGATCATTGTTAGTCATTGTTTCATAATGTACTATATTGTATTGTATTGTATAGTATTGTATTGTACCTTATGGTAGATAACGTTTGGACTATATTGTTTGTTTGTTGTTTAATAACATTTTTATTCTTTTTTTTTACTGTATTGTAATTTAAAAATTTACTAAAATGTTCTTAATCATTTTAAATACTAAATTTGTCAATAATTACTAATAAAATAAACTA